CCTTTCTTAATAATGCTCAACCCTATGAGTTTACTGTGCTGCTCATTGATAATGTAGAACTTGTTTTTAGGATGAAGATTTATTGCTCAAGTTTGTCGTATGATTGACCCAGGTGTGGAATACTCTGATTCGAACTGAGGTTAAGCCTCAGTTTAAGAGCTTGTGCTAACGGTTTCAATCTGTGGTGCAGTAGGTCATAGTTTTGGTTTGTACAGCTTTCTAAAGCTTAAAGTAGAATGCAAAACGTGTTGTGATACAAGCTGGTTAACTTGCAAGGGGACTGGTTAAGGAAGAATCAATATGTGCTTAGAAGGCAGAGTTAATAACAATTCTGTCACTGAATCTTTCAGCTTGCCTAAAGTTGTTAAAAGACGTGTGAATGCTCTCAAGAACCTTCAAGTTCAGTGTGCACAGATAGAAGCAAAGTTCTATGAGGAAGTTCATGAGCTGGAAAGAAAATATGCTGCTCTCTATCAACCCTTATTTGATAAGGTATTTTAATGCTACTCTGATTTGTACTTTAATGCTTCAGCTAAAATACAAGGGAATATAATAAACTGAATGCTTATGCAGTTCAGAATTACTTTGGTCTCATATGTGCCCATTTAATTCAATTGATACAGTTTCGGCATCCATGTGATCGTTGCTTAAGTTAAGGGAGTGAAAGGTTCAACCTATTCCATGGTTACCAAAATCACTTCAGTATACCAGACTTCATTTTAATTAAGCAGATGTCAGATGATATTGTAACCTTTCTGGGACTTCAGTGTTTTAGTGTGTTGAAAACCTCCAAACTGCTGGGTCTGCCTTCTAGAGCCAGAAGAAAATGTTTTGATAAATAGTTAATGTAGTACTAATTGTGTAATTTAGGATTAAGAATTTACTGATATGGGTATTGCTGATTGTAAATGGCTAGGAAATTCAAAAATATTCTTGGTTTAATCTTCCAGCGAAGTGAAATCATCAATGCAATTTATGAACCTACAGAAGAAGAATGTGAATGGAAAGCAGATATTGAAGAAGAAATTTCAGTGAGTATCTTAAATGGTTCTCATCAATATCTCAAGCTTTAGCATGAAACAAGATTCAGTACAGTAACTGAAGTTTAAAAAATAAAAAAAGATTGGGTTCCTAATGATTAATTGCTTATAATAACTATATTAATTCTTAATGATTGCTTAAAGCATGCACATGAAGCTTAAGCTGTACTGGTATTGACATGAAACTGTTAGTGAACCTTATGGGCACTCTTTTAAAATTAAGGAAACCTCACATTTTTATTTTGTTAAGGAGGAAATGAAAGAGAAAGCCAAGCTTGAAGAAGAAAAAAAAGATGAAGAAAAAGAAGACCCCAAAGGAATTCCTGAGTTTTGGCTGACAGTATTCAAGAATGTGGACTTGCTCAGTGATATGGTGCAGGTAGGTCCAGGCTTATTTAAACAGTAGTACTAGTACTTAATCCAAGTGTCTTTAAGAAAAGAGCAGGAACACTCCATTGCTTCATATGTCTGTTGAAGAGTGAAAATGGAACCATTACTTGGCTCTCATCTCTGGTACTTCATTCAACTGAGAGTGTAGAACAATGAAATATTTCTTTACTGTTTTATTTTTGGAACCTATTTTACCATACTAATACATTTTCTGTGCTTATAGGAGTGTGTGT